AGAGACAGAGTCACACTCTGTTGCCCAGGATGGCGTGCAGGGGCACCATCATAGCTCACTGCAGCCTCCAACTTCTGGGCTCAAGCAGTCCTCCCACCTCAGTCTCCTGAGTAGCTGGAACTATAGGCACTCGCTGCCACTCCTGGCTTATTAAAAAAAATAAATTAGACAGGGTCTCACTATGTTGCACAGGCTGGTCTTGAGCTGCCTCAAGCGATCCTCCTGCCTCAGCCTCCTGAGTTGCTGGAATTACAGATGCGAGCCACTGTGTTTGATGTTTTGAGGAAAGGTGTGAATCATTGATTTGGGACTCATTTTCACAGTATGTTTGTGTGTCCATACATTCATAGCTTTGCTCAAGGGAGTGGGTGAGATCACTGAGGCAGAATGTGAACTGCCCCTTGATGATCAAGAAAGCAGCTCTATGAGAGCTGGCACCATATTAGACTTGTTTACTAGTGTCTTAGTTTAGTTTACTTAGTTTACTTGTATCTCTAATGCCTAGCCAGTGCTTGGTGTGTGCTGCACTCCCCCAAATAATTAATGAAAGGAGAGGGTATCTAATGAAAAGATAAGAGGACTGAGAACTGAGGTAGAACTGGGTGGAGATCATTAAGTTGTGTGTGCAGAGCAGGCAGTAGAGCCCACGAAGAAAAGGAGAAAATCATAGAAGAAAAACAGGAGAAAGGGTGTCCTGGAAGCCAAGGGAGGAGAGGGCTTCTAGGAGTGGGAGTGTGCAGAGCTGGAAAGGGCTATTAGTATTTCAGTTTCTCCAAACAGGCATAGATTTTCTTGGCTCTGCTAATTTTAGTATTTGATGTCTTAACACTGTAAACCATCAGAATACCTCTAGTCTTCCATTTTGACAATGAACTATAGCACATTTACGGTCTCTGGCTTCTGTAAGTGGCACAGAATTCCTTTGTTAGACCACAGCGTTTGATCCTTGGTTAAGAAAAGTATGGTTACTCTAATTGGTGGTGTTCAAGAGAACGCTTTTCAGTGCAAAGGTGGGGTCAGAGTTTTTGTAGTTAATGAAACTTGGAGGTAGAACTAATTGGCATATACAGGCTAAAGTGTACCTCTTCATGAAGTTGGATGGCAAGAGAAGGGCAAAGATGGCACAGCAGCTTAGCTATACCTGTGTCATCCTACCGTACACAGTAAACTACCACAGATTTAGTGTCCTAAAACAATTACTATTCATCATTTCACAAGTTCTGTGGGTTATGAGTTTGGACATGGCTTAGATTCTCTGCTTAGGGTCTTCCAAAGCTGTAATCAAGTTGTTGGCCAGTCTGTATTCTCATCTGGAGGCTCAGCTTGGTAAAAATCCACTCCTACATGTACTTAGGCTGTTGGCAGAATTTATTTCCTTGTGGCTTTATGACTGAGCCTCATCACCTCCCCACCTTGCCCTAGTTTCTTACTGAAGGACGTCCTCAGGTTCTAGAGGCTGCCTGCAGCTCCTTGAATTCTTTGTCTCTTGGCTTTTTCCACAGAGAGTTACAACTTGGTGGTTTGTGTCTTCAAGGCCAGCAGGAAAACATCTTCTGCTATGGTCTTCTAAGACAGATATGGTTACACATCCTTGTGTAAAATAATCACAAGAATGACATCTATCCTCACATTTGCCTTATTTTATTGGCTAAAACAAGTTAGAGGTCCTTCTCATACTTAAAGGGAGGAGATTATATAAGTACCACAAATCACTGGGGATAATTTTAAGGTGACCACAACCATTTTTAACCATTTTTTTTGCGTGTGTTTATATTAATTTCCATATCTCTGCTTAAAGTTTTTGTTTGGATATATTGAATTTACAAGTCACTATTAGTGTACAAGTTTCTATGATTAAATAGATATTGCGATTCCTCAAGGACCTAGCAATAGAAATTCCATTTGATCCAGCCATCCCATTACTGGGTATATATCCAAAGGTTTATAAATTTTTCTATTATAAAGACACATGCACACATATATTCATTGCGGCACTGTTTACAATAGCAAAGACCTGGAACCAACCAAAATGCCCACCGGTGATAGACTGGACAAGGAAAATGTGGCACTTATACACCATGGAATACTACCAGCCATAAAAAATGATGAGTTCCTGTCCTTTGTAGGGACATAGATGAATCTGGAAACCATCATTCTCAGCAAACTGACACAAGAACAGAAAATCAAACACCACATGTTCTCACTCATACATAGGTGGGTGTTGAACAATGAGAACACGTGGACACAGGGAGGGGAGCATCTCACACTGGAGTCTATTGGCGGGGGGTGGGGAAGGGGAATAGGGGAGGGACAGCATGGGGTAGGGAGGTTAGGGAGGGATTACATTGGGAGAAATGCCAGATAGAGGTGACAGGGGGATGGAGGCAGCAAACCATGTTGCCATGTATGTACCTATGCAACAATCATACATGTTCTGCACATGTACCCTAGAACCTAAAGTGCAATAATAATAAAAAAAAGATACTGCTTCTTTTTCTAAATTTTTGATACTGGTGTATCAAGGACCTCACCTGTGAGAGAAAACAAGTGCTTGGACCTTCGGACAGCTGTTTTTGACTACTCATAAGCCTTTGCATATTTCAGAATCATGCCTGGTTTTTCAGAATCGAGCCTGGTGGAATTTTAGCTTCTGAATAAATAAAATATTCTGAATGTAACTTGAAATAATTTTTTCCCTATTTTTAAGAGTAACATATGTTCATTGTAGAAAGTTTGGGAAATATAGAACCAAACAGAGGTAACCAATTTCTGGCAGAGTTTTCTGGCATGTACTTTAGAATTAGACCTGGTCTTGAGTGTCAGCTGTCAGCTCTGCTCATTATTATTTGTATGACTTTGAGCTATATACTTTCTCTAAGCTTCATTTTTCATTTTTTTGAATTTTAATATTCTTAATATTTTAAAATTTTATTTCAAGTTCTAGGGTACACGTGTGATATGTGCAGGTTTGTTTCATAGGTAAGTGTGTGGTTTGCTGCACCTATCAACCCATCACCTAGATATTCAACCTAGCATGGATTAGCTATTTTTCCTGATGCTCCCCCCCTCCCAGCTGCTGTCTGACAGGCCCCAGCGTGTGCTGTTCCCTCCCTGTGTCCATGTATTCTCATTGTTCAGCACCCACTTATCAATGAGAACATGTGTTTGATTTTCTGTTCCTGCATTCATTTGCTGAGGATAATGGCTTCCAGCTCTATCCATGTCCTTGCAAAGGACATGATCTCATTCTTTTTTATGGCTGCATAGTATTCATTGATGTATATGTACTACAATTCTTTATCCAGTCTATCAATCATGGGCATTTGGGTTGATTCCATGTCTTTGCTATTGTGAATAATGCTGCAGTGAACATCTGTGTGCATGTATTTTATAATGGGGATTATGGGATTACGATTCAAGATGAGATTTGGGTGGGGACACAGCCAAACCATATCAGCTGGGGTTCTAAGCACTTATATGTTTAATTAGTTCTGTTTTATAGTTAGTGACAAAGCTGGGATGTAAACCCAGACAGTGATCCCAGACTGCATTCTTAGCCTTTATACTATATTGTCACTCAAGACAGAACAGGCCTCACAGGGTTGTGGGATCAAATGTGAAGCTCTTAGTAGGGATAAGTGCTTTATTAATAATACCTATATTCCAACATCATTGAGAATATAGCATACATTCAGTTCTGTATTCTACTTTTTATACTTCTTATGTATTTTCCTTAATATAATTTTAAACATTTTCCTTAATGTAATTTTAACGGATACGTAATTCATCATATAGGTATACTGACATTTTATGACTCCTCTTTGTTTTTGCAGAGTAAATTGAGATCTAAGTGGTTGAAGATCTAAGTGTTTAAAATACACTAGACTCATTTCTTTGAATAACAGTTGTTTTCATATCTTTTAAAATAACAGCTTTATTGAGCTATAATTCACCCTTTAAAGCATACGGTTCAGAGGTTTTTAGTCTATTCACATAATTGTGCAACTAACATCTAATTCCAGAACATTTTCTTCACTCCCCAAAGAAACCGTATACCCATTAATAGTCATTCTCCATTCTATGCTCCCTCTAGACGCTGGTAATCACTAATCTATGTCTCTGTGGATTTGGTTATTCTAGACATATCATATAAATGATATCAAACAATATGGGACTGTCTGTGTTTAGAACCCTTTCAAGATTCATTCATGTTGTAGCATATTATCAGTACATTATTGCTTATTATTGCCAAGTAATATTCCATTGTGTAGATATACCACATTTTATTAATACAATCATCAGTGGGTGGACATTTAGGATGTCTCTAGTTTTTGTCTATTAAAAATACTGCCGTGGGCTGGGCACGGTGGCTCAAGCCTGTAATCCCAGCACTTTGGGAGGCCGAGGCGGGTGGATCACGAGGTCAAGAGATCGAGACCATCTTGGTCAACATGGTGAAACCCCGTCTCTACTAAAAATACAAAAAATTAGCTGGGCATGGTAGCGCGTGCCTGTAATCCCAGCGACTCAGGAGGCTGGGGCAGGAGAATTGCCTGAGCCCGGGAGGCGGAGGTTGCGGTGAGCTGAGATCGCGCCATTACACTCCAGTCTGGGTAACAAGAGTGAAACTCCGTCTCAAAAAAAAAAAAAAAAAAAATACTGCTGTGACCTTTTATATACAAGTTTTTATGTAGACTTAAGTTTTCAGTTTTTTTGGGTGTAGTAAATATGTGAGTGGAATTGCTGGGTCATGTGGTTACTCTTGTGTTTAACTTGTTGAGGAATTGCCAACTGTTTCCAGGCTGCCTACACCATTTTATATTCCATGAGCAATATGTGAGGATTCTAGTTTTTCCATATTCTTGCCAGTGCTGCTTGTTGTCCATCTTTTTGATTATAGCAATCCTAGTTGGTGTGAAGTGGTATCTCATTGTAGTTTTGATTGGTAATTCCCTAATGACTAATTATGTCGAACGTCTTTTCATGTGCTTATTAGCCATGTATAGTATCTTCCTTGGAGAAATGTCTATTCAAGTCCTATTCCTGTTTTTAAATAGGATTTTTTAAATTGTTGAGTTGTAACAATTCTTTATATAGTCTGGATTCAAGTCCTTTGTCAGATAAATGATTTGCAGATACTTTCTCCCATTCTATTGGTTGTCTTCATCTTCTTGATTGTGCCTTCGAAGCACCAGAATTCTTAATTTTGATTAAGGTCAATTTATTTTTTTCTTTGGTTGCTTGTGCTTTTTGTGTCTTTTCTCAGAAACCATTGCTTACCTCAAGGCTCATGAAGATTTATTCCTGTTTTCTTCTAAGAGTTTTATAGTTTTAGCTCTTATGTATTTAAATCCATGTGTTTAACTTATGTCAATTTAACTTTTGAATATGATGTGAGGTGGGATTCCAACTTCATTCTTTTTCATGTGTGTATCTGGTTGTCCCAGCACCATCTGTTGAAAAGACTATTCTTTTCCCATTGAATTGTCTTGGCACCCTTGTTGAAAGTAAACTGACTAAAAATGTAAGAGTTTGTTTTAGACTCTTAGTTCTATTATATTTCATATCTTTTAAAATGGTACTTATGGCTCTGCTGCTTACTGTGTGACCTTCATGGTTGGTTAACTTATGTCTATTAGTTTTCTCATCTGTAAAATGAGGAATAACTATTAAGTACCTCATGGGATTATTGTGAAGATTCAAGAAAATAATGTTTAAAGAGCTTAAAATAGTATCTGGCTTAGAGTAAGCACACAGTATGTGTTAGCCGATGCCATCATTACCACCTCTGCTATCATCATCATTGTTACCGTCATAATACTTAAATGTTGTTCTCTAACTTATATGTGACTTGTTTTCTTTGGCTGAATTGTAAATGTGGAAATTACATACCATGTTTAAGGAGTGAATGTTCTTGTTAAGAGAGAGTACAGAGTGCAAGGAAGATTGAGGACAAATCTTAAGAAATACTTGTATTTAGACATTTTTATTATAGTAGTAATTTTTATTTAAAAAAGTACTTAAGGAAAATACTAGAGTTCTTGTTTTAGGCTAATTGGGAGTAAGCGGGTCAGCTGGAAAGTTCTGTAATTTAGGTAGGTTAAAATGTCCTGCAGCAGTCGTCATATGTGTATATACTGCTTTTTAAAAGTCATATATATGTATTGTAAAATCCTGGTGTTTGGGGATTATGGGCATTTTTCTAATTTGGTATAATATGTAGTCTAGTGTCCTTAGCATTGCTTTTTAAACAGTGGCAAGCCAATGTTGGCAATTTAAAAATTATAGTTTAAAATCAATAATTATTAATTTGTTTAGCAGCGATAGAAAAAAATCAGTAATTAGCCCCATTTAGCATTATGTGACAGATATATTAGAAGTGGTATCATACCTCATTTGTTCTCTAAAGGTTAGCTACCTTTATTTTCAGGTAAGCACATATGTACCTGGTATTGATTTTGAGTATTAGAGTGCTTAAAAAAGAACTCCAGCTTTCTTTTGCCCTTTTCTCCCTTCACCTTACATTCATACTATTAGCTTTAACTGGCCTATTTTCTACTAATTGTGAATGTGTGTAACTAATGACATAGCTTATGACTACTGTTTTAGTTCTCTGCTTTAGGCCATAATTTTTGCATTCTTAGAGTTCTTTATTAATCATATATATACATGTTATTGACTTGAGACCTCTTTTATTATAATTATCAGTACCAACTTTTATTAGTTGTAAAATGAAAGAACTAAGTATTTTAATAGCCTGTTCCTTTCATCATGCTTGTTTTTCTTCTGACATTTTAAAATTTGCTTTTTTAGGTCTCCCCCCCCCACTCTGGTGATGCTTATTGCTTTTTCTTGTATTTTAAAAAGTTGTTGTGATTATTATTCCTAGATGTCATTTGTCAGAGTGAACCGCTGTGGTCCCCGAGTTGGTGTAAGAAAGACACTGAAAGTAAAGAAGAAGAAGACTTCAGTGAAACAAGAATGGGATGTGAGTATAGGTGGGATAGTAAATAATGTAACATTACTCTGTAGGAATGGGCACAGAGATATGGCCCTAGTCATTCAAGATGGTGTTCTGAATGGGGCTCATCACGTAATAGGCTGGAATAGGTTTCTGGGCATGTGATAGTCTAGGTCTTGGATGGAAGAGCAGAATCCTTTGGGGGAAGTTTTTAGAATACACACGTCTAGACTGTAACCTCTATGTCCTTTGAAGAATTGGAATCTTAAGGGAATGGGGAGCATATTTAAAAGAAAGTCTTCTCACTTTCACTTTGAGAACTCGCTGCGTAAAGGCAACTCCAGCTTGCTGGTGTCACTGAAGTCTGAACTTTTTCAGTACCTTTTTTAGATTTGTTCAGAGCAACGAGTGATTTCATAACCATGTGAGTGCCATTTTTGGCTGAAAAAAAATATAGGTGATCTTTGCTGTTTTATCCCATAAATTGCTCACTTCCAGAGGTTGATCAGTTTCAGCACAAATGCTCTCTTACAATGTAAGACAAGTCTCAAGTACCTGTGCCATATCATTTCTGGCTCCTAACCTGAATGTTGCATGGTGTTACCAAGGGGATTTATATCTTTTTTTTTAAGAGACAGGGTCATGCTCTGTCACTCAGGCCGGAGTGACGTGTTGCCATAGTAGCTCAGTGTAACCTTAAACTCCTGGACTCCAGCGATCCTTCTGCCTTAGCCTCCTGGGTAGCTAGTTTGGATCTCAAGGATTCTTTTGAACTTGGAATCTTCTGGTTTGCAACCTACCATGTTAGCCAGATATCCTGGGCAAACTGACAGCCTTTGAAGTGGGGGAGGGGGACTACTTTTGTTGCTGCCTGATTGGCTGTAAAATTTTAATAATAAGAATGTGACTCTAAGGTAAGGAAACTGATAAATAGGAAAAAAAAATATGATAACATAAGTATTTTCCTCTTCAGAGTGGTTACTTTGGGAAGTTCAGTACAGTTGACTTTTGAACAACATCACCTTTGAGCTTCACGGGTTCACTTATACTGTACGTGAATTTTTTTTTTTTTCAATAAATATAGTTGGATGTATCCTTGGGTTCTACCTCTACAACCAAAGATGGATTGAAAATACATATGCAAAACCCGTATGTGGGTTTTACATCGTGGAGATGCAATTATGTAGGATTTGAGTATGTGTAGATTTTGATATATGTGGAGATCCTGGATACTGTGGGATGACTGCATTTATTCCACTATGCTGCTATTGCTCAAAACTTAATTGAAACCTATCATTTGAAATTGCATTAAGAACCTTCGTCATTTTACTTTTTAGTATCTGCAGTGCTGGAAAAATCTTTTGTTTTTTGAAGGTAGACTGAACTTGGAAAATAGTCATAAGTCATTTGGAGTAAATGGTAAATGACGGAGAAGAGATGAAACTGATTAATACTGTCTTGATAACAATAGTGAGACATTTTCTGAAATGGCTTGTAGATTAGATTTAAAGGCAATTTCAAGAAGTTTTAAACAACTAGTATTGATGGAATTATTTTCTTCCATGAGAACAAATTTCAAGCATATCATTTATCTGTATGCCTGAGTTTTTAAATGATTATTAAAAACAAAACAGTTCTCATGATCCTGTAGTACCTTTCTTTTACCTTTTCCTTTTTTTTTTTTTTTTTTTTTTTGAGACAAGGCCTTGATATTTTGCCAACGCTGGCCTCAAACTCATGGGCTTGTGATGTGATCTTCCTGCCTCCACCTCCTGAGCCTCCTGAGTAGTTGAGACTACAAGCACATACCACCATGCCTGGCTTTTATCTTTTACCTTTCTAAATCAGTGTAAAAGTAATAACAGTTTTCATATAGAAAAGCCTTGAGCCAAATATAAATCATGGCCAAAAAGTTTAGTTTTTGATCAGAATCTATTTTGACTCTTTGTATTCCTCGTCACTTAGAAGTGAAACTAACTCATTTTATTTCCTGCCTTACCAAATCTGTGTAGCAAAATGGCTGAAGTTGCTTTGGAAAGGGCCAAGTTACAGGGTTGCTACTTTGAACTGTGCAGGCTGTGTACCACACAATTTTAGGGGGTGCTATTTACATGGACTCTGATGTTGATAACTTATGGAGTTATGCAGTGTGGTAGCCCTGCCATGTTAGTGCCTTTTAAGTGACTTTTCACATTTTGTGAAATTATGCATTGCCCTCACATTTCATCTTTCATTGTAGTAGCATCTATGCTTAAGATGTTTGCAGACACAAACTGAACGTCTCTATAGTGATCACACTTTTTTTTTTTTTTTTGAGATGGAGTCTCACTTTGTTGCCGAGGCTAGAGTACAGTGGCATAATCTTGGCTCACTGCAGCCTCTACCTCCTTGCAAAGAGGTATTGCTTTGCAAGATTCCCTTGCATCAGCCTCCCGAGTAGCTGGGATTATGGGCACCCACCACCACACCCAGCTAATTTTTGTATTTTTAGTAGAGACAGGGTTTTGCCATGTTGGTCAGGCTGGTCTCGAACTCCTGACCTCAGGTGATCCACCTGCCTCGGCCTCCCAAAGTGCTGGGATTACAGGCATGAGACACTGTGCCTGGCCAGTGATCACACTTTGTTTTAGGAACCTTTAGAGTTACATTGTGGAATCCTGGGATTCCATAGAACACAGTGTGAAAACTAAAACTTCAGTTAAACTTACTCATTTTAAATATATACTGCCATTTATTCATATGCCATATATTCATTTTCAGTATTTCATTGTTTTAATATAATGTATGACTGCTTGGTGAATACAGTATTTTCTGTAAGACATCTAAAATTAGTCTGTTTTCTATAAATACACCTAACTAATATGTGTTAATATCTAAATTGAGAATACTGGTTCCTAGAAAGAGTTTTTGATTTTGAAACCATTTTAGCCATTAAAATCCAGTAAGTGTGTATATTTTATAAGAAAACTTTTTTTTCTTTTTTAAAGAAAGGCCACCTTTTTTTTTTTTTTTTTTTTTTTTAACAGAATACTATGACTGATCTGACAGTTCATCGGTCAACTCCTGAAGATCTGGTAAGTTCATTATCAAAACTGAAGTCATTTATTCAGTGTTTTGTTTGGTATTTGACTTGTAACTTTTAGAATAGAAACTATATGCACTTCCTGGACGTTGTTCATTTATGTTTAATCTTGTTTATGTCTGTATAAAATCAAAAAGCTTATCTTCCGGACTTCCTGATTTTAGCTAGGAATATCAATCAGTATGTATTTGAATTTCATTAAATGTGCTGGGTTTATAGCTGAAATCTGTTTAATCTAGTACTGCCTGATGTACATCTATCTGCCTTTTAAAACAATCTGTAGATATTTTCAGCATTATTTGTTACTTCCCTATACAAACATATTGTCCTAGTTAGTGTAATAATTTATCCCTTGAATATGCCATGAATATTTCCATGTCTCAGCCCCTATTCCTTACTTGGAACAGTTCCTGTACCTTCTTTTCTACGTGTTCAAATCTTACTTTACTTCCTTATCCTAGTTCAAGTTCCACTTTTTTTAAAGTTTCCACTTAGGTTTTTTTTTTTTTTTTTTTTTTAGATTTATTGAGATATAGTTCACATACCATAAAACCTGTTCCAAGGCCGGGTGCGGTGGCTCAAGCCTGTAATCCCAGCACTGTGGGAGGCCGAGGCGGGTGGATCACGAGGTCAAGAGATCGAGACCATCCTGGTCAACATGGTGAAACCCCGTCTCTACTAAAAATACAAAAAATTAGCTGGGCATGGTGGCGCGTGCCTGTAATCCCAGCGACTCAGGAGGCTGGGGCAGGAGAATTGCCTGAACCCAGGAGGCGGAGGTTGCGGT